TGATTTCAATATATTATATAAAAGCTTACTTGCCGTATCCAATGTGGAAATGTCAAAGACAATAGCACTTGATAAAGTAATTATTTTTTATAAAAAAACATCAAACATACGTATGCAATTTTACTTCACACCCATGCATGGATTTAACCAAATGTTCACTATAAATAGTCTGTGTGTTTTGTCGCAAATATATCCCACAGAAAATAAATAACACATCCACGTTTAAAAACGAATCCTATACAGTAGGTACTTTGAAACAAACTACCCTTAGCAATATTTGAGTGCCTTTAAACAGTATGTATTTTTCATCACTCTGTATTCGAAAATTGCCCATTTCCAGCTGGGACCTTCGAAAATCTTCAATTTTCATACTAAAAACAAATAGTGATCAGCTGACTTTCCCTGACATAAACATTACTTTCGTTAGATAAACAATCTATCTATCTATATATTAATAGGCAAGCATGTTTCTTTAAAACCTTTTTTCTCAGCTCGTGTGCATCGTGGGGTAAATCTACGCATACCGTTAGAAAGCTATTTTCCTGTAGGTGTGCAGAATCCCTTTATAAATTTAAATAGGCTTAAAGATAAGCACAAAAAATTAGTTTAAAAATTTGAAAAAATTAACATGGATCTTGTGCGTTGCCATACTGGTGACGAAATAACAACGAAATATAAACAGAAAATCAAAACAAATGGAAGAAACTCCAATCACATGTTTTATTTACAGTGTGGGGTGAAAATAGAGAAGTGAGTAAGTTAACATTACATATTTTTGGTCGAGTTTCGACCACTGGACGACCTCTCGTCTATATATTAATAGGCAAGCATGTTTCTTTAAAACCTTTTTTCTCAGCTCGTGTGCATCGTAGGGAAAATCTACGCATACCGTTGGAAAGCTATTTTCCTGTAGGTGTGCAGAATCCCTTTATAAATTAAAATAGGCTCAAAGATAAGCACAAAAAATGAGTTTAAAATTTGAAAAAATTAACATGGATCATATGGGTTGCTATGCTGGTGACGAAATAACAACGAAATATAAACAGAAAATCAAAACAAATGGAAGAAACTCCAATCACATGTTTTATTTACAGTGTGAGGTTAAAATAGAGAAATCTGTACATTACATATTTTTGGTCGAGTTTCGACCACTGGACGACCTCTAGTACTTATAAATACACGGGTTTGTCGACAACAAACAAGAGAATAGTGTTACATTCAACTGTACCAATGAACTACACGAATACTGTAACAAATAGAACATCAACGTTTATGGTAACGCAACAATTATGATAATACGAATCGTGCGATACAGACGTTGGCGACGATGACGTCAACAATGGGACTTCAATATTCATTTGACGTTCTGATAAATCCTCAGCTTGTGCTCTTGATGACGTATTTTGGATTACAGTAATTACTCAGATTTTCAACCAAACAGTTTAAATACGTTTTAGTCTATAAATAATTATTTGTAATAGTTGAGAAAACAATGATGGATTTCTACATATTGTTACGTTAAATGTGTTACTATTTCGTGTATAGCAAGGTTGTACTATCGTATTGATTTAAGTAGTATGACTTAAGAACTTTCTGCTCACCTTATCAACGATTGTTATTTGATTGAAAATACTTCTACTCGCCTGACACACCTATCATTTGTTGTTTTATTGTTAGCTGCAGGTACACATCGAGTTGTTATGTTAATGTCAGGGCTGTTGCGGTTGCTTATGGTTAGCTATATTTATTTATACTAAAGGGAAAGTAACTTGTCATTTAATAATACGTCTATTGATTCATAACTAGTCTTTTAAATAAACTTAACTGAAAGTAAACTATTATTATTGAAGACACGATGTGTGAATCTAGAATATACCACATCGTTTGATTTATCACATAGAAAAGGAGATATTTCAGAATTATATGGCTAAGTGGTTAAAGAGCTCGCCTGGCAATCATAAGCTCACTGGTTCGATTGTGAGAAAAGTCAATTGCTTTTGATGGTTTGAAACTGGACCCAGTCGTCCCTGATCATTGGGCTTTAAACATACTCCCTTGTGTTGGTTAGTCTTTGATAAAATAACCCTGACTGATGAAACAGCTGATCTCAGTCGGTAACAAAGCCACACAGATCGTGTCACAACTACATTCATCCTTCACCAATCATATTTGGGTTGAAATATGCACCTAGTTGGCGTCCCCATCTCATAATGATGATGATAATTAAGTTGGGAACGCAACTGAGGTGCGTATTTAGCCGAAATATAAGTGAAGAAGAGTGTAGAATAGAGTAAGACGCATTGGGCGTGTAGATTTGAGAGACAAGCTGTTTATTTACCGTTATTTGTCATTATTAAAATCTCAATGATCATGGCCAAAGTAGTTCCAGTTTTAAGGCAAAAGGTTTTTGACCCTTCTCAGGAACCGGTAACCTTTTTATTTTAAACTAGCAGAATACCCGTCCTTCGTACGGGGTTTGCGTATAAGTATAAAATGCTTATTGCGGTTATACTCATGCTTTGTGTTTGCAATGGAAAAGGACACGGTTTGAGAAAATTTGGTTCTTTTAATTTACGGAAGCTATAGACCGCATATACACATATACCATAGCAATAATCTTCTACCACTGAGAAAGGTCAGTAGCTTTTTGATGGTTCGAAACTGGACCCAGCTGTTCCTGATCATTGGGCTTTAAATAAATGATCCTGGCTAATGAAACAGCTGATCTTAGTCAGTAACAAAGCTACACAGATCATCTCACACCATTCTACACTCATCCTTCACTCATATTTGGGTTAAAATACGCACCTAAGTGGCGTCCCCATCTCAATGGTTGATTGATTGATTGATTGATTGACTACACCTCAACAATAAAAAGTAAACCATCGAATATCCGCACAATATCAAAAAATTATTTATAAATTAAAAAAACATAAACTTAAACAATCCTACTTTAACAGTTCTCATTGTGCATCACAGCCTTTTGTTGCGGCTTGGTTCAAATTAGCTATGTTGTCATGAATGAAAAATCAAATAATATTGCTGCACCCTGTCGTTGAAACTTATAACTTTTAATAATATTGAATATCATAGAACAAATTGTGTAATTGAAACAGCTGACAAAATCCTTTAATCGCTTTTAAAAATGAATATTAAATATGAATAACTCATAAGGTTAACATGGGAAACTCCAGAGCCACTGGGGCGGAGCCCGAAAGGATTTTTGAGATAAGAATATGTCTATATGTTAATCGGGAATGTGAGCTATCGTCATACCAAATTTCAGCCCAATCCGACCAGTAGTAAAAGCGTGATTGAACTTCAAACAAACAAACAAACAAACAAACAAATAAACAAACAAACACACAAACTTTCACATTTATAATATTAGTAAGATTAGCACTTCTCCTCTAACAGCAACTTAAATAAGTGGTTACATTTAGTCCATGACGTCATTGTTCCCAGCACCAACTGACCAGCGTGATGCTAAAATCTGTACGTCACATAGACCGTTACGTAGTACATCACGCTAGCTTGGCGTGACCCATGCAACAAACAGTTCCAACAAACGCTTACAGTTTATGTGCTGCCCCAAATATCGCTTAATTATTCCATTTTGTTGTTGATGTTTCCATGTAACGTCTGACCACCTTGTACGATATGAGAAAGATAAGGAATGCAGTGAGAATTAAGAGTGGGCAGTACCATATTGGATTGATGTCCCATAAGATCGACGTAATCTGTTGAACCTTAAAGCCGTTATTTTTTAACATATACTGCGTTTGATGTCTTTGGAAAGAGAATACAATTCTACAGGGGTTTGCTTTGGTTCTCCAAACTAAAAGAAACAGTAGACTGTTCTAAGAATTGAAATTCATTATGTAGCAACTGACCTGTTAGCTTGGACTATAAAATACTTGATTGTTTTTAAGGTTAGTTAATTAGTGTTAGTTAATTAACGACATCTTTGACTGCACATTCTTCAGGAGAGCCTAGTTTATTTCATCCTAGGTTGTGTATAAAATCAAAGCAAAGGATTAATTTTGCAATTAGGAAAATTTAGCTTTTACTAAATTATAATAAATAGTAAATAATCCAGCTGCTTTTAATTTTCTGAGAATGCACGAAAGACCATCTTACAGAATATTTGACCCATACTTGGCATCAAATACGCTTAATACATCTTAAAATTGTCTAAGATTCTTCCAGTCTCCTTAAGCCTTACTTGTAAGTTCACATGGACCTCAGACTTGACACGGAATATATTAGGGTAAAGGATTTGTTTATGACCTTCCTTAGCATTTTGTAACTAGGCTCTAACAGGTGGAATAGTTTTACATATGACTCCAGGGTTGCAGTATTAACACTTTGATAAAAATCCATTTGGAATCCGACGGGGTGCGAGCTGGTCTAGTGGTAGAGCACAGGTCTTCGGATCCCGGGTTCAAATCCCTTTAACCACCAATAGATTTAATCCATGTGATAATACCGTGACCCTCTAGGACTAGCCTAATGTAATGTGTAAAACAGTTTCGGGCTGGGACCAAACCTCCTAGGATGTGATAGTGGGATATTAATAATAAAATGTGATCAGATGCATCCAAGTTTTTATTTTTGGTTGGGGTGGCTAAAAGACTTAGTAAAAGAATTAGTTTGTATACAACAGAACAATTCCAACTGAGCACACTAAACACACACTTCAGGATATTTGTACAATATGTATCCTTATCCAAGGAAGAATATGTAATGTTAATTTAAACCAGTTACGAATCACATGGCTGGGAAAGTAATTTAACCAATTAACTTAATTTATTTTCGAACTAGCTTGTATACAATAGAACACTTCCGAACATAGTAAAATCGTCAGGAAATTCGTGGTACAATACGTTTCCTTAGCCAAGCAACAAGTAGTTGCGTTGGCGGGGTGGGTGTAAGGGCAGGGGGAGAGTTTTGCCTTTTAACCCCCCATGTCGCTTGGCTGAGTCTCATTCGGCGACATGTCGCAAGCTATGCACATCTGTGTCGCCATCTCCGCTATCATCTACGTACTTCTGGCCTGTGCAGGTAAAATTGGAAACAAATTTATTAAAATATATTCCATCCCTTATATTGACTGGTTGACGATCGGTCGTGATTAACAGATTGAATTGGTGTCTATAAAACAATTTTGTAGGTGGAACTTTTAATATTTCTTGGAGCGTTATTGTAAATGATTAATTTTATTAAAAATAGTAATTTTGTTTTAAAATAGTATTTAATTGCTTGAAAATTCTTCAACAATTGATTATTAGCAATTTGAGAAGTTTTAAAATCTTAAAATTATAAGTCAACTTTTAAAAACTTTTGAATTAATTAGCTACCAGGTTAAGTGCAAAGTACACAAAACTGAGGATAATTTTAACTGGATGGTGAATTGTCATTGTTGAAATAATTTTGTATGCATAACTTAAACATTAGGTAAACAACTTTAAGTTGTACAGTACTACATTATTCCTGTTTTGATATATTTATTTAAGTTTTCGCCTGGAATTGCTTCCTACATATCTTGAGACTAGGTCTAGAAGCAATTATAATTAGATAAAATCCATTGGTGGGATTTGAACCCGGGAACTCGGGGACCAAAGACCCTCTACCACCAGACCAGCTCGCTCCACCAGTTTTAAAATTAATACTCTATAGGGTTTGAAATTTTTCCAATGATTCAAACTTTAAATAATAAGAGTCTAGCTCCAAAACCTTAGAAAATACATGTAGGTGCAAATTTAATAAACATATAAACATCAATAACGACATGACTGTAGGCGCCTTTGCATAATATACTCCATGAAAGTATGGTAAAACTACTCAAACCTATGGTTATTTTTCTGGTTGGTTGAAAACACTTTATTTAATGTCAAATTAACTTAGGACACGCACCTCTCCAAAATTCAAACTCTTGGATGTATTCATAATTTAATACTATAAAATAACACGTTACATCCTGTAGAAAATTATAGTGTAACTGATATTGACTTTCTTTGTACTGAATATTTTATTAAAATTGTTAAAATATTCAGTGATTTAATTAAAAACTGAAGCTTATAACTACAGCCTCCATTTAAGCCAACAGCCGGCTAATTACTTAATTACTTTATTTAATTAAGTAAATTCTTACTTAATTAAAATCTTCAAACTCAACATAATTTACTAAAAAGATCCCTCAATTTTACCCAAATTTCAAATATTAAAATTTGTGAGTAAATAACTTATAAACTTGTTTCCTTAACATAAAATGTTTATCGCAAAAGGAACGCATTTTTATATTGGAAATGTATCCTTATGAAAGCAAAACAGAATAAATGCATCAACATTTTAAAATAATCTTGGAAACAACGTGGATGAAAGATTTTACGGTAAACCTATGGTGCCTTAGGTAGGGAGATATTATAAGGGTAGTAATAATTATGTAAAGAAAAGGACTTATTCACTGTATTGAATAATAATTGACATTGGAAAGATAACGCATTCAGCAACTTTTTTTGATAAATGTTAAGAAAATGAATTTGATGAAAATAGATGAAATTAATGAAAATATATTACGGATAATTACATTTCCACGTTTATAAGTGTAAAGAGCGTTTATATTAAAACTGAATCCAAAATAATTTAATACAATCACACCTCATCGCGATAATACTGTATATTTGGTATAAAATATAAAATACAATTTAATATGTTTAAAATTAAGCTATTAATGGACAGTTTTATAGGCCTAACATTTCGCACATATTATATCCCATACTGTAGCAAAACAAAATATAATCAAATACTTTGGTGTTCTTTGCAATTTATTTATACAACCGTAATACCATGTAATACGTAACTGAACTAATTTTAATCTTACATTTAACTTGTAAAAATCTTTTGTAAATTCTCATTTAGAGGTGTTCTTTAAATTACACCATAGCATGGACTTTGACAAATGTTCAGTTTGCGTTAATTTATTTTTAAGAAAACATAGACCAAACCACGAATATTAGAACAGTAACGGTATGGATCAAATACATGAACAAATGACGTCACTGACCCAAATGCCTATACTAATAGAAGTAACAGCTGTTTGACAGTTTTATTAAAATACTAATATAACAAAATAACGTTTACTAGCGTACATTTTGCTCGACATCGAGCAATCGCAAGGAAGCTATTTAAAAACAAATAACTTATTTAAGAACAAATATAAGTCATAAATTCCGATGAGTTTAAAAGAGTCAACTCAAAGATTACGTAACTAATGATAATACTCACAATGTACTTAACAGTTCAATATAATCAACATTTCTTGTAAATATTTTATCATTTATCAAAAGGTGATCTGGCTTTTAGTGTATCTTAGAAATGTTTCCCACTTATAGCCGCAATAGGTTGTCCATGTTGGTCTTTGTCAATGATAATGTAGTCTGCATGGTATCACTCATTGTCGCCAGTACGTTTGCAAATTTCAGTCTTTATTTTAATAGCACCAAATAACCATTAACTACCTGATTTTCTGCATAACCTCTCTGTCACAATTTTACAATTAACATATGTTCTTCTCACTTTTAATTTCTGACAACAGCTGGAGTTTCATAACAATGTTTGTTTCCCATGTTAATCTTATGGAGAAATACGAAACTTTAAAGGGCCCCAGGGCCTCACTCTCTAATTATTTTCCTAAAAAGAAAGTTTCCTGCACAACTTCACGTTACGCTCTTCCCAATGACGCCAATAACATGTCAATCGGTTCAGTAGTTTCGGAGGAGTAATTGTCACAAAAAACCTGCTTGCGTATTAAAAAGTGTAGATTTCGGACCAGTGACATCATTGTTTATGTTTATGATCCATACCGTTTCTGTTCTAATATACGTGGTCCGAACCATTGTACTTTTGCAAGAATACAGCAGATACGTCCACGCAAGTGGCTAGCATTGTTGTTTCTCATAACAAGTCAACAATAGCTGCATTGTACCCTTACTGACGCATATGACGTCATTTTGTATTGAGGGCTCCTCTGTTACAACAAGAAAACATTCTTCCTGCGTCGAGAAAGATACTTTCACATTTTATTTTCATTGCGTCTTGATCTATATATTTAACTATGTATGCTTAGTTTGTATAAAAAATGTTTAAGAACACCATTTGATGGTGTGATATACAGGGTTTACCGAAAGTAAACAGCCAAACTTTGGAAAATGATTTTATGGGCAAAAAATCTAATGAAAATCAAGAAAAACATTTTTTTTATGCCTTAGTGGTGAGATACTCACCATTTTGATATTTAGAATTTAAAATTCATATATCGAAAACGGTTTCGTAATATAGCCTTATGAAATTTGGCATACGATTTATAGTAGCAATAAACTACGTCTAAAATAATAAAGATATTTTTTTCAAAATGGTGGCCATGGAGATATAGTTCATTTCCTACTACTGGATATTGAAGATTTAAATTATTAAATAAACTGTTACCTGTTCAATAGCCTTTGATTCTTGTTGTGACGATTTGATGATGATTTAATTTAAGTCTGACACCAACAATTGGTTTACTAAAGTAAATTTAGTAATCCTTTAAATATTTACTATTATTTTTGTAATTTAATTTTATTCGTTACATTTTCCCAACGGCTGTCCAAACTCTGTAAGCCGTCTGGCACTTTTGGGATAAGAGTTACAAATAGTGGTCGTAATTTTGGCTATAAAGATACAAATTGTTTGTATCATTGGTCGTCAAAGAGGTATAAAACCTAATCAATATTGATATCAGGATTTTGGTCATGATAAAACATAGCTACACTCACTGGGTGGATTAGCAATGCTATATTTGGGAGACAATTATTATAGTAACTCAAGATATACGTTCAAACTAAATCAATTGTAGCTCTTAAGATTTTAAACCATCAATTAACATAATATTATAATGGAAAATGAATAGTTAAACAGAAGCTGGTGGGAATACGAAGCTATTGACAGTAACCATTGTTAGTTTCAATTGTTTTTCATTGGTAAATTTTATTTTAATAAAAAACTCAAGCCTAGTATCCGTCAGCGAGTAAAATATTTAATTTAGGTTTTTTGATCAAAATATTATTCTAAGGTACAGTAAATAATAAAACTTAGAAAACTACAGTCACTTGAAGCAGACAAGAGTATTGCCTTTGAGAACAATAAAATTAATTATTGTTTTATTAAAAATTTACGAAAACTGACTGAACTGGTGATTAATCCCCGTCTAACTTATATTTTAGTCATCCAAATGCTACCCCCTCATCCAAACAATAGATTTCAATCAAATCTAACTTATCTGAATAGATTTTAATCAAATCTAACTTAACTGAAGCACACTTTAACCCAGATGATCCAAATGAAGTCGCCATATAGGTTTAGCGGACGTTGACTACAGAGTGGACACAGTGAGGTCCATTTCCTAGAAGTTCCAATCAATTCACAGGCTTGGACTTTTCAGTGATTGGATCAACTTTGAAACTCAGTTTCAGCTTGACAATGGCGGACGCTGACCTGAAACTTTCAGCCTTTGCTGCTCGTAGGTCAGTTTGTGTTTGTAAGGCAGCTATGTATAGTTTAGTGGCATCCTGAAAACTTTGACATATTCATATTCTCTTTCCAGCTATAAGTGGGCAAAATGTTTAAAGTTGCCGGGAAAAAATGCTAACTAACAATGTTATTTTGTCCTTGTGCAGCTAAGTTTGTTATGCAATAATAGATATAACGAGGGGGAAATAGTACGTTTTAATTGTATGAAATAGTTATTTGTGTAACTAGTGTGCGAAGTGGCACAAGTTTATCGAGTGCAGGAAAGGCAGTTTGCACTCGCGTTACACATTATATTTCATACAGTTATTATAAAAGCATGTAAATAATTAGTCTTTAAAACACTATTCAACACGTTTTTAGGTTAGGTTAAATACAAACATTGAACGAAATGGGAAACACTGCACCAGCTGATCGTAGTCGGAATATAAGTATTGCTGACTTACTTCCAAGCGAACACATATTACGTGCCTAATAAAAGCACGCTGTTTTGTGTT